AGTGGAAGATTCTGTCTCCAAAAAAAAAAAAAAAGAAGGAAAAGATAGGTTAGTCTGTGGGACAGTGAATTTCATTAACTTTCTGAAATTTTGTCCTCTGAGAATTTCTTTTCTTTTTTATTTCTCTTTCTTTCTTCCCCCCTTTTTTATTTCTCTTCCTCCATTCCACTCTCCCCCTCCCTCCTCCTTCTTTCTTCTTCCCTTTTGTCCTTCTCTCTCTTTAATTCATTTATTTTGAGGCATGGTGTCACCCTGTTGCCCAGGCTGAGTACAGTGACATGATCTGAGCTCACTGCAACTTCCAGCTCCTAAGTGATTCTTGTGCCTCAGCCTCTTAGGTAGCTGGGACTACTGGTATGCACCACCATGCCCAGCTAACTTTTGTATTTTTTGTAGAGACAAGGTTTTGTCATGTAGAGACATAATTTTGCCACGTAGGCTGATCTTCTTCTCACCACCCATCTAAGCTTCCCACAGTGATAACAGTCTCAAGCCATTGTGCCCCACCAAAAATTTCTTTTACTATGCTTTTTGTTCTGACCTTTATTCCAGTATGATTTTGGTTGTCTAAGCATGTTTTTATTTGCATCATTTCAGTTTATCCCAGTAATATCTATAATGACAGTTAGCATTATTTCAGCTTCTAAATGTCTCAATATTACACATGGATAGTAAGAGACTTGGAACCACACGAGTAGTGAAAAAAGACAAATACAATGTAGGAAAATCTAAAGTAGGAATGATTGCTGAATAAAAGTTATTTGAGGTGCTGTGAAAGTTTGTTCACTTATGTATCTACCTTAAGCGTGTAACTTTATCTTTTTTAGACTAAATGCATTCTAAAACAAAAGTTTCTCTTTTATTTCCCAATTTGAACTCCTGTCATAATATAGTACTTAACAAACCACACTAGCTGTCTGGACTTGAGCATGTGTAGAATAACTGAAATAGAAAACTGCTATACTATACATATATGTATGCATAATATATATAACCTTTTGAGGTACTCTGGTTGCAATATCTGCATTTCAACACTACTCAAAAGTAAAATAAGGCCCAGAGACAGGGTAGTCATTATGTACTATTTATTGCTAATTTTCATATACAAATGACAGCTGTCAGAATCCACAACCTCTGAATATCAGAGGCTCATGTTTACCTTGGTCGATACACAAAGGAAATAAGTGAGGCCAAAAATGCAGTTTAACAGTGTTCCATAGTATGAATTTTATATATGAACTGGAATAGGCCTGAGGTCTTCAAGCCTAGTTTCTCAAGATATTTTGTAAACTTGTGCTAGCAGTTTTGAATATCACAATGATTGGCAAGGGGGCTGCTGACATGTTATAGACACAGCTCAGGGTGTTAGATGTCCTGTCATGCAGGGACATTTACAACAGAAAATAATTTTGTTAGGATCTAAACCCATAACAACACTTTACACATAAACTCAAAAGTATTTTCTGGCTGGGTGGAGTTTCAGTGTCACTTTGGGAAGCCAAGGCAGGTGGATGCCTTAAGCCAAGAAGTTTGACCCCCCTGGGCAACATGATGAAACACCTTCTCAATTAAAATAAAAAAATACAAAAAACTAGACTGCCATGACAGGTGGTGTGCAACTCTAGTCCCAGCTACTGGGAGGCTGAGGTGGATTACCTGAGGTGTATGTTGCAGTGAGCCAAGATTCCACCACTGCACTCCAGCCTAGATGAAGAAGTGAGATCCTACACCAAAACAAAAGCAAACAAACAAAAACAACATATATAATTTAAACATACAGAAATTGTTTTTTTTCCCCCCAAGAAGGCAATGACTGTATAAATTATATTTTGTTTTTTTTAATTCTGTTTATATTTGCAGCTAAATTAGGGAACCAGTTGTGTATTTTTCAGTGTCATTGTGGAGGTCATTTATGTGCTAAAAATATTTTATTATAAATAATTCTTTAATTTTATTACAATTAAGTTTGTTAGGGGCAAGAGGGGCAGCATTGTGCATTGTTGAGTTTATTTTTTCAGAAGGGAGAGAGAAAAGGAAGGTCGAAAATGGAGAAAGCCAGTAAATTTATTTTATATCATGTATGGGTTTAACTTAGAATGGTAAAGGTGTTGACACAAAAAATGTTATAAAAAATCTAGCTGGAATTTTTGAATTGCCAAAGCAGTAAAGCAACTTCACTGTGGGAACACTTAACAAAATGTGTATGTTCTAATCACTTTGAATGTTTTAATTTTAAATTCGGAACAGCAAAAATATTTGTGATAATGTTCTGATAATGAGGGTATTTGAATTTTAGCACTAGGAAACCCTTTGAAGGATAGTGTAAAACCTGTTTATTTAATTTGATTTCGCTGAGAGTTTAGAGGGAAGAAGTGTTTGTAAATCCACGTACATGACTACAGCCAGAGATCCAGTACGATGAGGTTTTTTTTTTCTTTTTCTTTTTGTCTGTCTGCTTAATCTGTCTGCTGATCTGGACTAGTGGACTGAGAATTTTCCAAGAAAAGTATCTCCTAGGGCAAAAGACTGTTTCATATCCATTGCAGCCACCTGTAATTTGTTCTGAACGTGGGACAGCTGTAATGTAGATCTTTCAGCAGGCCTATCCTCCTCAATCCTGATTGAGACAATCAAAAGAATCTTTCCACGATCTCATGGTTAGGCTGGCTTTGGAGACGCAAAATACCATTGGTTAACTTAGGGTCGCAGTGCGCTGGAAAAAACAAGGGACCTATGCCAGTGTGCGTTAAGGGCCTAGGTCCCTGGGAGGGTGTATTATTACCAATGGTCATTCAGTATATATTGTTTCACTGTTTGCCTCAAAACGGGAGACCTCAGGTAGTGTGTGTTAAGGGACTACGACATCTGGTAGTGTGTATCAGCAGCGTCATTCAGGATATATTGTTTCCTCATCCTGTGACGCTAAGGTCGTATGCTAATAAAGCGCAGACACACAGCTAGGAAAACTTAGAGGGTTTTGGGTTCCTAGCTGAACCGCGGCAGCCTAAGTAAGTCAAGCCCGTAAAGTATCTGCAGGAGGTACATGCTTTCCTCAGTGCAGTAATTCACGGTCCTGTACTGGGGATTGTATTCAAACACCGTGAATCGCTCACTTAAAATGGTCACTTGCGCCTGACACCTGGGATTCCTGACCCTGATCCGTTTCCGCTTGAGGTTTGACTAGTAAGAGATTGAATGAAGGCTGTCCAAAGGTAGGCGACGGCTAGTTAGAATGGGCAGATTTAGAAAACTTCCAGATTTTTGGAAGTAAAAGGGCAAGAGAGCGCTTAAGGAAGAAAAGTTCAGGGTGTGGAAAAGGGAGGGAGACAGAGTTAGGTGTACGTATAGCTACTATGCTTAGATTTCCCAAGGGGAAAAAGGCAAAAGACAACTTGCGGCTAGTTGCCCAGAAATCAAAAACACTGTGAGATGGCGGGTATAAGAAAGATATGGTGAATTTTTAGAGTCTTTGGGACTTGACTACCTGAACCCGCGATCTTACTAGTAAATAAACGCGGCTTAGGCGCAAGGAAACGTACCAATGAAGGCATCGGTCGGGGATGAGGGGGTGGAGTCACGAGGACGCACGTCTTGCGTGCTGATGTAGGCTGTAGGAGGGGGCCATTTTAAGACGGAGTCTAGCAGTGGCTTTCCGGTGAGAGCTCCGATATTCGGTCCTCACCTTAAGTGGAGTATCCGAGTTTTCGCTTCTGTTTTAGGGATGAGTCATGTGCTGGTGAAAAACGACCCTGAATTGGACCCTGCAGGTAAGTCGAAATAAGCGTACCGACGCTTTCTACGGGGACATTTTCGTTGGCTTACATTAGTTTGTGGCGCATTACTAATTGGTATTTCAGTTTCATAGCTTTTAGGGTTCGGGTATTGTGCTCGGTCCTATATATGACAGCCCACGTACGGGAGACCGGACGGTGGCCACAGCGTGAAGGGTGGTGTTTACGCGGTATTCTCCTAGGGTAGTGGGCCGCCCGCAATGGCGGCTTCTGGGCGTGCATGAGCGGTCCCGCGGAGACGCGCATGTGCGACCACTGACCGGTTAGTCAACAGGGGCGGGGAAGGCGGCGGTTCGCAAAAAAGGGACTTTTTTTTCCAGTCTAGCGGTTAGACCTTCACGAGGCGCCCGTGACATATGCACGGAAGTCTCGTTTAGGCAGAAAGTGCATGCAGGCCACCCAGTCACTGTGTGTAGCGAGGACAAAGAGTATGGTGTTGGCTCCGGCGAGTGGCCACAGTCTTGGATGCGGTTGTATGAGTTGAGTAGCGCTGTGGTCCTTGCAGGGGCCGGGCCTATGGAATTCTTGAAGGCGAGTGACTATGAAGCCCAGGGAAACAAGCGTCCTGTATCTTGTTTTGCCCGCTTCCCTTACGGATGGAGCAACCGCTGACCGGATGCTGAGCGTGCCGGGTCCGCGTTTCCGGTGTGGCAGTTTTGTGACGTAGAAGAACCTGAAACCGACAGCGGCGAGGGGAGGGCGAATGGCCGCCACCTGCTTCTCTTGACCTGCCTTAGAAAGAATGGAAAGCAGAGGCCAGCGGGAAGACACCTTGAAGGTTAGGGATCCAGGATTGCGCTACACCCCTTTCTTAACTCGGAGAGCCACTGGATAGCCGGCTAGCCGAAAACTGTGCGCCTTTTGTGTAGTATTGTGCCTTTGCGTTAGGCGATACGGGAACTAGGCCCGTAGGAGATTAACGGTTGATTCGCGGGACAGGTTATTTGTGGTTTACTCTCTTTTTACCGCAGAAGGAATGTTGATATAGGTCTAACTCTGTTTCCATTAAGGGCAGATCCTTTACCTTTGAAGTCTGCCCGACGACGGGGCAGGATATGTGGTGTACGTGTGAGATCAGGCTCCTATACCGTGTCAGGAACCTACTGCAGTTTGCACTGCAGTGCTTCGGACCCTTATGCCTGCATTTTTGCCTCCCACGCCTGGGGGAGAGAATGAATAAAGGATAAAGCTAGGTGCGGTTTGAGGGATTTAACGGTCTGCCTTTTGAGATAGTTTTTCACTGCGTCGTATTAAGGCCTGCAACTTACTGATTCTTAATATGTTAAATAGACCGTAGAAACAGAGAACTAAGGAATAGAGAATTCGGCGGTACGAGTTTACAATGTTTTCTATGTAACTGGCAACACTTAACTCTTGATAAAGCGTACTGTCTACTTCGCTAGAATTAAGTAGTAACCAGATTCAGATGGCGAAGTTTTAAAATACAGTATCTTAATCGATGATGCATTTAATTTGATAGTATCTTGAACTTTCAATACATATGTAAGCGTGTTATGGCGTAGAAGGTTTGTTCAGAGAGGTGACAAAGTTGCTCTGGGCGTTGCACTTGTTTCTTGCAACCTATTTTGACGTAGGTGATTGTCCGCCCCCCCCACCGCCACGCCCCCCCCACCGCCACGCCCCCCCACCGCCCGCCGCTACTGAGTACTTCTTGGTAAAGCATTATGCTGCAAGCCCATAAAGCGAAATCACCTTTTCCCCCTATAGTTTTAAAATCTAGCCGTATAAGGAGGCAGGAGTTAAGAATGGGTATGTCATTTTAGAAGCATTAAAGAAAAGATGTGTCGCTTTTTAACTTTGTCACCAAAGACCTCTGAAGTTGATGTTTAAAATGGGAGAAATGAATACTGCCACCTTCATAGAGCGTCAAACATGAAATGACAGCTGTGTAAAGCTGCACAGTACTCAAAACATAGTGAAGTTGGTTTATTATTTTAACTTTTGATGTCTAGGAATTTATCTGCCTTAAAAATAGTTGCACAGTCTTTGGCGCCAGTCGACCGTAAGGAATCTTCAAATGTTCCGGTGTCCATTTATTTTTAGGTTTAGGATATCAAGAAAACCACTGTCTTTGGGAACATTTTACTATTAACGACTGTAGCTAAATTGAATGTTGTTTAAGTTACTGAGAAATGGATGGTAGATTTTTTTTTTTTTTTTTTTTTTTTTTTGTTTGGAAAGCTTTTACCATGGTAAATTGTTCAAGAAAATTTGTTTGGAGTGAATGAATTTGAACTTTGTTGGTATGAAACTGCCGGTATTCAGGTGGTGCCATTTGCATTTGTCATGGTTGATAGACTTAAGCATCTTTAAAATCTTGTCGGGTAATGCCAGGCAGTCCCAGCAGCCAAGTGTATGGTACAGGATAAGATTGGAATCCAGGTCTTCTTATTTGTCGCTTGTGATCTTATCTGTTCTTGTGTGTCAGCATGTGAGCTATTGATACCTCTTTTCTAGCTTGCGGATCTGGACCTGAACTCCTCTGAGAAACAGAGTGGAGGAGCAAGTACAGCAAGCAGTAAGTAAAACCTTTGTTTTTGGCCCAGCCTCGCTCTGTAGCCGAGGCTAGAGTGCAGAGATGCCATCTCGGCTCCCTGCAGCCTCCGCCTCCCTGGTTCAAGCGATTGTGCTGCCTCATCATCCCGAGTAGCATGGATTACGGCGCGCCACGCCTGGCTAATATTATGAGGAGAGAGACGGGGTTTCCCCACGTTAGCCAGGATGGCCTGGATCTCAGATCTCCTGACCTGCCCACGTCGGCCTCCCAGACGACTGGGATTAGAGGGTGAGCCCATCGCTCCCCCGGCCCGAAAACTCTTTTTTAAAAACGGAGCCTTGGGCTGGGCTCGGTGGCTCAGGCCAGTAATCACAGCACTTGGGAAGGACGAGGCGGGTAGAGCCTGAGGTCAGGAGATCGAGACCAGCCTGGCCAAGGACGGTGAAACGCCGGCTCTACTAAAATACAAAAAAATTAGCCCGGCGTGGTGGCTCGTCTCTGCACTCCCAGCTGCCTTCGGAGGTTGAGGCAGGAGGATCCCTTGACCTGGGATTCAGAAATTTCCAGAAAATTTTCACTCTCCAACTTTTCATGTGTTTTTATGGTATCTCCACTTTAATCTTTGGACATTTAAAAAAGCCTCTTCCTGGGTAGATGATTTAGTATAGCACATAGAACCTTTTTTTCCTCTCTCTCTACGACACTGTTACGTTGGAGTAATGGCCGCGTTTAATGATCAGTGTTGATTTCATGTAGCAGTTATCTGAAATAGAGCCTTTTAAAACATGGTTATTAAATAACCACTACTAGCTACTGAAATACATTTGGTTCTCAGCGTATTTTCGAGTAAGCATTTTTTCCCCTTCATCTTGCAAAGTAGTTTCCTGTATGAAATACAGGTTTTAGAAGTTTGTTTTCCAGGACCTATCTTTTCATAGACGTTTTCTGAATAGGCAGCGTCGTGGTGATGTCATAGGCTTCTAATTTTACATTTTCTCTTTTAGAAGGACGCTATATACCTCCTCACTTACGGAACAGAGAAGCGTCTAAAGGTATGTATTTAAGGCAAGTTTGTAGATGTAACCTTTAGCAGCTCATCAAAGCCTAGGGAAAAAGAGTGACTTGAGGAAGTCTGTGAACACTTTTTGTCCCCTCCTGTGCCTCTTTTGGACTGTCTTTAGGAACTAGCACTTTCTGTCCTCGGAAAAGTTCCTCGAATGTTGAATGATGGATACTTATTGTGTCCTGTGGCAGACTGAGCCCAAAGAATTTGGGTTTGTGTCGTTAACCTACCAAGTAGGTTAACTATGGTACTGTATCTGTTGGTAACATTTATGGTGTGGTTTGAATTTGAAAGTGGCATATTTTTGCGAATGCCTTATGTCAAAGAAACTGTCTGGTGGTAAAGTTTCTGCTTGCTGCTGTCTTGAAAAGTTGCCACAGTGAAATGGTGTTTTGTTTTTCTGGACTAGTTAACAGTTGTAAAATTATCACTTTGGGCCACATTCAATGAGCTGGGGATATGTTTCAACCCAGACAACTTCATTGGAAAGGTGTTGTATGAAATGCATTAAAACACCTAGGGTTGTTTCCTATCAAATTTGTAAGGTAGAAGAGTTCATTAGAAAAGTTTAATTGGGGTGATGTTTTGAGTGCCTCACGCACATCAAAAAATTTCTAGGAGAAGGAAATGTCAGGAAAAATATTTAAAACCAAAAGGAAAGAAGCTAATGATAAAGGGGTGTGGAGTGGGTAGAGTACTTGCAGTTGACTTTGTTTTTCTCTGTTTAGTCTGTACCCTGTTTTTAAGTCTGTATGTGTTTATCAGAAGACCACTTTGCTAAGGATTGTTTTCTTTTTTCAGAGTAACTGCAGAGTTTCTTTATCACAAGCATGCTAAGTGTTGTATCTGGCTGGAATTGCACCCGAGGTGTCTTAAGTGCCTTAAGAAGAGTTGGCAATATTTTAGTATTTGCGGGGATGGAAGAGACGTTAACCATCTAACTTCCTTAATGTGGGAAGTACTATGGGTCATTTGTCTAATACTGGATTTTTAAAAGCAGGGGAGAATGAAAAGTGACAACTTTATAAACTTGTAACTTTAAACATTTAATTAAAAGTTTGGATTAGGGAAGCCCTCCAGCAAGTTTGCTCTTGTCATTCCTTTGTCAGTTTGTAGACAATGAAAGTAGGTAATAATGAGGGTTTTTAAAACTCAAGTATAGGTTTATTCTCACTGAGGGTATTAAGATGACACAATTATGTTTGGACTCTTGGTAGGCCAGTAGTGTGTGTATGAGCGTAGCACACAGTGATGTTTGTAACAACTTAGTTTTAGTTGTTAACAGTAAAATAGAAAGTCTTGACCATCTCTGAATGCGAGATTGTGTTAAAATAACTTTATGTGAATAGTTCGAGAAACGTTGTTTTTAGGTGGTAGGATGCCATAGTGACTTAAGAAATGGGTTGTGAGTTCAAAGTTAGAGCAGTGTCAATGGGAAAACCTAATTTGCTGTATCTTTACTGTCCCCTGCCTGAAATTTTCAAAGAGTAATTAGAAATTCTCTGTCTTAATAGGCCTGACATATTTTTATCTGATTATGTAGATCTCTTCTCTTAGTTCAAGGTAATCCACAGTCCCTGAGGTAGTCTTTAGCTGGGCCTTTCCAAAATGTGTATTATACATAGCTTACGTTAAATGTTTAGGTTTAACACCTTTTGCGTTACGTTATTCAGGATTTGTCAAAGATGGATCATAGCTAGGAACTAACAGAAGCATCGCTTGCACTAGCTACAAGTTGAGCTTAAAAGTGAGGGAGTTGGAATCCCTCCTAATCAGTCATAGCTTAAAAAAAGACATCGTAAATAATTGCATTGGAGTAGGTTTACGTGTTGGACACATAACATTTATACTTAGGGGGTGAATGAAAACAATTACTATTGTGGTGATAGTATCATAGCTGTGTTACATGCAGGCTACGTTGTTCTCAGGTCATGAGATTACTTTGCCTCATTTAATCATCTCTGGTAGAAGAACACATTAACGCTTGTAAAAATTCTGCTTATGAGACCTGTTGGTTGACCTTTGTTCCCACAAGGATAAGATAAAGGAAGACTACATGTGAAGGACCTGTTGACCTTTGTTCCCAGCAGGATAAGATAAAGGAAGACTACATGTGAAGGACTTCATATTTGGGAAGATGGAAATCGTGTAAACGTCTCATCAGCTTTCAATTTTTGCTTTTTTTATTGAAGGATTCTCTGATAAAGACAGTTCAGGTTGGAGTTGCAGCAGAGATAAGGATGCATATAGCAGTTTTGGGTCTCGAGAATCAAGAGGAAGGTCTGGTTATTTCAGTGATCGTGGAAGGTAAATCCCAGCTTGTGTGTTTATACAGTAGCAGTTTAGGAATCTTAATTTGGCAAGTTCTCATTCTTCATACTTACACTGGTCCTTGAGCATATCTTTAAGAGACTACTCATGGATTTAAAGCAGAGTGATAGTTTATCATTGCTCTGTTGGCACTGAGAGTTCTTTACTAAAAGTAGTTTATTAATTTAGACGAATATACTATTTGACACAATGAAGTCTGTTTCAACTTAAATGATACAGTCTGCGACAGCTTTAAATGCTTCGTGTGTGTGCGTGCATGCGTGCGTGCGTGTTTCTTGAGACAGAGTCTTGCTCTGCTGCCCAGGCTGGAGTGCAGTGGCACGATCTGGGCTCATTGCAGCCTCCACCTTCTGGGTTCAAGTGATTCTCCTGCGTCAGTCTCCCAAGTACCTGGGACTACAGGCGCCCACCACCTGGCCGGCTAATTATTCTTTTCTTGGTAGAGACAGGACCGGGTGGGTTGGCTTATGCCTGTAATCACAGCACTTTGGGAGGGCGAGGTGGCAGGATCACAAGGTCAGGAGTTCGAGACCAGCCTGACCAACACGGTGAAACCCCATCTCTACTAAAAATAGAATGATTGGATGGGTATGGTGGAATGTGCCTGTAGTCCCAGCTACTCAGAAGGCTGAGGTAGGAGAGTCACTTGAACCCAGGAGACAAAGGCTGCTCTGAGTTGAGACGGCACCACTGCACTCCAGCCTGGGTGGCAGAGCAAGACTCCATCTCAAAACAAACAAACAAACAAACAAACCCTAATAATTGAATTTAATCCTGTCTTGCTTTTCAGAAACAGGAATAAAACTCTAAGAAAAATGTTCTCTTGTCACATGTCTTCTACTTTTTTATATCTAAAAATGTTATATCTAAAAAATTTCATGTGTTATTCCTGCTTTCCTGCCAGTAAATATATTTAGATGATACCAGTAAATATGTTTAGATGGTACTGTCTTAAATGAAGATGTAAAGTATGCACTAGTTGTAAGTATCTAAACCTAATTCTTAGCATGCGATGTCTAAGCTGTGTAATTTTATAAAAATTTTTATAATTTTCTTAAGAACGAAGACACAGATTACACATAAGCGCTGGTTAATTAGAGGGGCTTATTTCACACGAGGTAAACACTGAGTTGCTGACATCGTTTAAGGGTGGTTGTGTTCAGTAAGTCAGCTGATACCCAAGGACATTTCTAGAGGGGTGATAATCCGATATCGGCTAAATCGTGTATTTTTGATTGCTCGTGCCATTCAGATTTGATGATCGTGGACGGAGTGAATATGATGGTATTGGCAGTCGTGACAGAACTGGCTTTGGTAGATATGAACGGAGTGGACACAGTCGTTGGTGTGACAAGTCGGATGAAGATGATTGGTCAAAACCACTGCCACCAAGTGAACGCTTAGAGCGGTAAGTTTTTGAACAACATGTTATACTAAGCCATAAGTTTCTTAACAATTAATATACATGTAATAATTGTTTGATTTCAGGGAACTGTTTTCTGGAGGAAACACGGGGATTAACTTTGAGAAATACGATGATATACCAGTAGAGGCAACCGGCAGTAACTGTCCACCACATATTGAAAACGTAAGTTTTTGTTTGACTCTTAAAGTTCTTAATGCAAACCCATTGGATTATGAAACATTAATGCCACTATTAAGAATAGTCTCGGAATTGGCCGGGCACGATGGCTGACGCCTGTAATCCCAGGACTTTGGGAGGCTGAGGCGGGCAGATCATGAGGTCAGGAGATAGAGGCCATTTTGGCCAACGTGGTGAAACCCCGTGTTTACTAAAAACACTCAGGTGAGCTGGGCATGGTGCCACGCACCTGTAATCTGAGCTATGCAGGAGGCTGAGGCAGGAGAGTCCCTTCAACCCAGGCATCGGAGGTTAAGGTGAGCCAAGATTGCGCCCCTGCACTCCAGCCTGGCCACAGAGTGAGATTCTGTCTGAAAAAGAAGAAGGACGACAGGCACGAGCCACCATGCCTGCCTCCAAATGCTGTTTCAATTTTTTAAACCCAGGAGTCCATTTTGTTAAAAAATGCCACGATTCTTTAACTGAAATCATAGCATCTGTAAACCAAATCACAGACAGTTTGGTTACTTCCATTAATATGGTAGTGTAAAACAGAAATTGCAAAAGATACAGCATTTTATATCTGTCATGTTTACTTCTATATTTACTTGTATTTGATTAACCCGGCTACATTTCCTGACAGTTCAGTGATATTGACATGGGAGAAATTATCATGGGGAACATTGAGCTTACTCGCTATACTCGTCCTACTCCAGTGCAAAAACATGCCATTCCTATCATTAAGGGAAAAAGAGACTTAATGGCTTGTGCCCAGACAGGTAAGCTTAGTTGATAAAAAGCAAAAGTTAAGAATATCTAATTGGGCTTACTTTAAAAGTAGTATGTTCTGAAGGGATGTCTGAGTCCTGTGTTTAGCATTTGAGAGAGCTTGGGGATGTGCCTTTTTGTCTGTACCTCTGGATCCTTGGGATGTATCTGGGCATCTTGAGGAAGCGCATGGCAAATTGTCAGCTTGAATACCTTCTTTAAGAAACAGAACTGCATCTTTTTCGGTTAACTCCACGGGAGTTAGCAGACTGCAGCCTGATCTGAAACCTAGCACTTGTGTATTTTTCAACAGCCATATTCGAATATAAATACCCATTTGTTATGTCTGTGCTGTAGAGGTTAGCCAGAGATTTGGCACAGATAAAAAGTGTTCTCTTGTAGAGACTGGCCTGCAAGAGCCATGTACTGTTAGCTCTTTACAGAAAGTTTACTGATTCCTGCTTTACCTTCCAACACTATAGAGCCACTACAAAGAAATGTTGCACTGAAAGTTGTTGCCACTTTTCAGACAAAATGGTTGTGTTTTGTACAAATTAAAATGTACTGTTTGAAAGTAGAGCACAGAAGTCGCTTTACTCCTTAGGTTTGCCGTATAAATTTACTGTACGTCCTAGAAAATTGGAAATGGAGTAAGAAAAAATTTCCTGTAATTATAGAGAGCATCGAGAACACTTTATCAACGATTAATATTCAGAAATGATAAGTCAGTGTTTTGTCTTCAGGTTCTGGAAAAAACGGCAGCATTTCTTTTGCCCATACTGAGTCAGATATATACAGATGGTCCAGGAGAAGCTTTGAAAGCCGTGAAGGTAAAGGTATTGCTGTAAAATGAGACATTTTTGTTTTAAAAAGGCTTTGCAAATGCCTGTTGACTTTTCTAAACAAGGCCAGCTACACCTTATTTTCATTTTTTTCACCCCGTTCACCCAATGAAAATAAGTCTGTAGGTGTAATCTGCACATTATAAAAGGAAACTGGTAAGTTTTAAAAAAGAATTACAGTTTTTGGCCAGAAAGTGTAAATTATTTTCATTTTTTAGGGAAACGGAAGGTGTGGGCGCCGCAAGCAATATCCAATTTCCTTGGTTTTAGCCCCAACGAGAGAATTGGCAGTACAGATCTATGAGGAAGCCAGAAAAGTAAAATACTCATTTTAGTGATTGTTGCTTTTCTCCTTGATCAAACGATGTTTTTTATGGCCACTGACATGTTCTTTGCTTACAGTTTTCATACCGATCTAGAGTTCGTCCTTGTGTAGTCTATGGTGGTGCTGATATTGGTCAGCAGATTCGGGACTTAGAACGTGGATGCCACTTGTTAGTAGCCACTCCAGGACGTCTAGTGGATATGATGGAAAGAGGAAAGATTGCGTTAGACTTCTGCAAGTACGTTAGTTTTTACATATGGGATGCGCCTCTTTTTGTATTAGAAGTTGATTACTTCTGTAGTATTTTTACTAGGGCTGCCTGAGCTTCGATAATTTAATTTTCCACATAGTTCTGAAAATTGCAGTTAACCTTTTTGTTTAAAGAGTAAGTGAAATTTTAATTGAGGCTCTAAGCTTTATTTTAACAATCAACGTGGCTAATTTGGTTGTAATCTTGAGCCATTTTGTCTCTGTGTGTGTGCGTGCGCACATGTGTGCATGCATGCGTGTGTGTATCTGTTTGTGGCACTGGAATATTCCCTTATGGAGGGGACTACATTAGTGTAATTAGTTAGGCAACATACCGAGTAATTAGTGTGTCAGATCTAATGATCCAGGATCAACTGAGGGTTTTTCATAACAGGTACTTAGTGTTGGATGAAGCTGATAGGATGTTGGATATGGGATTTGAACCTCAGATACGTCGCATCGTTGAACAAGATACCATGCCACCAAAGGGCGTTCGTCACACCATGATGTTTAGTGCTACTTTTCCTAAAGAAATACAGGTATTGTTGGATGTTTTCGTTTTGATTAGAGCATATGTGTTTATTATATTTAGATAATTTGTGTACTAAAGTAGGCAATTGAGTATTTTTCTCACTTTTTCAGATGCTTGCTCGTGACTTTTTGGATGAATATATCTTTTTGGCTGTCGGCAGAGTAGGCTCTACCTCTGAGAACATCACACAGAAAGTAGTTTGGGTGGAAGACTTAGATAAACGGTCGTTTCTGCTTGATATCTTGGGAGCAACAGGTAAAATTATGAATAATAATAATAATAGTGTCAGTTACATGTAAGGAGAATCTCTTTACATCTCTTCTGTTCCTTCCCTTGCCTTTTCCTCATTCTAAACATAGTTATAACAATGTTTACATTAATTGCTTCCAAGATTTATTCTAGCAGAAGGACTAGAATTAACCCAGTTAATATTTAGATTAACCAGCGATGCTAATTCATTATGAGTAAACAAAGCCTTCTGATTTTTCAGGGAGGGATTCACTGACTTTGGTGTTTGTAGAGACCAAAAAGGGAGCGGATTCCCTGGAGGATTTCTTATACCATGAAGGACATGCTTGTACTAGTATTCATGGAGACCGATCACAGAGAGATCGAGAGGAGGCCCTTCGCCAGTTTCGCTCGGGGAGAAGCCCAATTCTTGTGGCTACAGCTGTATGTAAACATTATTGTTTAATTACTCATGTTTGTACAGTGCTTTTTTTTTTAAATAAAAGTTATTTTTCAGGTGGCAGCACGAGGACTAGACATTTCAAATGTGAGACACGTTATCAATTTTGATCTGCCGAGTGATATTGAAGAATATGTGCATCGTATTGGCCGTACAGGACGTGTAGGAAACCTGGGTAATAATTTTGTTAGGGAGTTTTATTTATTTTGGTTTTATTATTGTGATGCACCCAGCAAAGATTTGACAAAGGACCTTAAAAATAGAACGTTTATATCTGAGGAAAAGTTTTAGATTAATCAGCCAACTAAATTTTTTTTTCCGTCCGTTTGATTTGGTTGTACTACAAATCACAATGTCACGTTTTAGTTTTGGACTTACAATATTTTACATAGGGATATAGGAATGTAAGAACAGCATGCTGCTTTATGGAAACTTCATGTACTTTTTTTGATCTATGTAGGCCTTGCCACCTCATTCTTTAATGAAAAAAATGTGAATATTGCAAAGGATTTGTTGGATCTTCTTGTAGAAGCTAAACAAGAAGTGCCTTCTTGGTTGGAAAGTATGGCTTACGAACACCACTACAAGGGTGGCAATCGTGGACGATCTAAAAGGTACGCACTGTTGTGAGCCTTCACTCTTGGTATTACCTATTGGGGGCAGTAAGCTTTCAGAGTTAGCTTTTCCCCGAGTAACGGGTTAAACAGTTATTTTCAACTATAATACATAAACGTTTGGGCAAGGGGTAATTATTAGAAAGGTTGACATGGCGTTAGGTGTCAGTTCTTCACTACTGAGTACTTTAGAAACTCTGCTAGAACACCTGGGACATTAATGGTACAGTTCCCATGAGAACATAATGGCACTGAACTGAAAACTTAAATGGGGAACTGTGAACTTGAAGCAGGAATTTGCTGTTTAATCCAACTTTGGACTTACAGTGCCATGCTATATTTTTGCTTACAATAATAGATTCAGCGGAGGATTTGGTGCTAGAGACTGTCGACAGAGTAGTGCCTCCAGCAGTTCTGGCTTCAGTAGTAGTGGTGCAGGCAGCAGCCGCGGTGGTGGAGGTGGTTACGGCAACAGCAGAGGATTTGGTAGAGGTAATGTTAATTTTTCCTTGAGGAAGGGCTTTTTCTTTTTCTTATGAGTCCTGTTTTTCATACCATAATTCATTGGGGAAATTTAATTTCTGAGGGACACAAACTCTTAACACTAGATTTTTTTTGTTGGGTTTACGTTAGAGTACTTGAGAGAAAAAAAAAAGGTATAATGGGTGACTTAATGTTTCTCTCTTTAAACATTTTTCTTGATAGGTGGCTATGGAGGCTTCTACAATAGTGATGGATGTGGAGGAAATTATGACTTCCAGGGGGTTGACTGGTGGGGCAACTGAATCTGCTTCGCAGCAATGTCACCCTTACAAACAAGCTAATATGGAAACCACGTGTAACTTAGCCAGACTGTGTCGTGTAGCCTCAAGAACTTGCAGGACGTTACCAGCAGTGATTGTCCTGAAAATTCAAGGGAGCTCAAAGTCACAAGAAGAAGAATGAAAGGAAATAAAACAGCAGCCCTATTCAGAAATTGGTTTGAAGACTTAATTGCTGTGATTTGGATTTAACTCTCCCCTCCTGCTTTAGTCCCACCCCAAACTGCATTTATAAGTTTGTGGCTAAGGATCGTTTTGTTTGTTAACATACTGTGACTTTAACTTTAGACAGCTTCCTACTTTGATGTCCTGTTGGATCAGTCATGCTCACGATACCCACTGTTTTGACAAAATAAATTTACTAACCTCGGCCTAAAATCAAACCGTGGCACACAGGTGTGATACAACTTCAACAGGAATCATCAATTCATCCGTGAATATAAACGGGGAAAAAACAAAACAAAACATCTTCAGACAGTAGCCTGCATTCGGACCGCTTGACTCTTGCAGTCTTGGCGGGTGGGGGATCATCTTAAAGCATTAAAGCATAGTTTGTTTTTTTTTTAATGTGACCAACCTATAGTAAGTTCTGATTTTCTCAGTGTATCCTGGAGGGGCACTTAGAAACTTACCCTCTTTAAATAAGCCATTCCAGTGGTGAGGAGGTGGAATGTATCACCCTACCCATTAATATTTTTGAAAGAGCTCTTAAAGTTAACTGAGGTAAATACAGCAGTTTCTCTTTTAAAGTTTGAGAAGTTTATTCTAAGCTAGGCAAACGTGGGCATACTGTCACAGGAAAGGTTGGTTTAAAGCTTTGATAAGATGTTTGGGGAAATATCATTTAAGTAGTTTTCTTATGCCTGCTGTAAAAATTCAAAATGTTAGAATGGCTGGCCATGGCAACGACCAAGTCTCACGGCAGGCCTGATTGGTTTCTGGTCTTTAACTGCATGCTAGTGTTTATGTTCTTCAGTCAAGAAGGAAATTAAACAGGAAGGATTATGCAGCAGGCTTTAATGTAAATGTAGATTAGTAATGCTCTGTTGTAGCTGCATTGAAATGTTAAAATGGCTTACACTTGTGGACTTTTTAAATCTAAGGCTGCCAAATGCTTGAAATCACACAGGTTGCATTTATGTACTAAACTGCACAAGGTATACCTTCTCTCTGCAGTTTTAGTGTATTTTAGTTGCATAGGTTTCCATTGTATTAGCAGTCTCTTGTGGTAAATTTGGCCAAAGACGGTTGTCCACCGCTCAAAATGCCTCTCTCACTTGGAATTCTCTACTGATTTTGCAGCCACAATGCAATGATCTTCAGAAACAAATCTTTTCAGTGGCATCAGAAGTTGGCAAAATTTGTTAAAGTGCAAGAGATTTTCAAGTGTCTTGTGCCTTGTTCTAAAATTTATAAGTAGGTGTACTTTACAGTATTGAGGTCATTTGTTAAGGTGCTATTTCAATTAGTATAAGTTTAGACTCTTGTACATTTTGCCCATAACTTTTTACAAAGCACTTACTGCAGATTGAGAGAATTTTATATATGACTGTCTTGTGTGTGTGTTCTCAATCTCCCAGTTTTATTTCATCTCTCAGAGATTGTTGAATGCAGCCAGTCAAGAAGTAGATTGCAAAATTTTATTTGGGACCGTGGAATGATAGTTGAGAAGAAAACTGTTTGCACACAACAGATTTTAGATACTTTTGCTGCTAGTTGTATAATATTTATTGAAAATTTTGACAAATATTTATTTTTGTAAGCCTAAAAATGATTCTCTGAAAGTTTAAAGAAACTTGACCAAAAGACAGTACAGAAAACACTGGCACTTGAATGTAACCGTATGTGAAATAATATATTTTCTGGTAGTGTGCGCTTTTAATGTCAAGTCCTATTAAACTTGAGTCAAATTAAGCAGACCCGGCATTGGCAATGTAGCTATAATTTTCTGAGAAAATTTAAGACAAAATTGTCAACTTGAATTAAAACTTGCCACGGTTTTGATATCCTTGTCTTATGGTATTAATGAAACTCATCTGAACACTGATATGAAGTGTCTACATCGTAGATGCTCTCTGAGTTTGTTAGATGTTTTGTTTTGAATTTCAGTGATTGTCTGGCATATCTACAGTCCTCAAACGTTATATTTTTGTGTATTGCCGTGAGCAGTGACTTACATTCAGTTTCATCAGCCAGCAATATTTTCAGTAAAGAATGTAATTGCTGAATGTAACCATTGACCCTCAAGTCACTCTAAGTTTAGTAATTGCTTATTGTATTAGTTGCAGATGCTGTTACTGCATGTGCTCTGTTATTCTGATTTTACTACAATAAAAAGTTAAAAATCTGTTTTCTGCTGTCACCAGTAGCTTAATGTTGAGTTGAAAATGAACTTGTCTTAACCTGAAGATTGGAAATCTGGTATCTTGGCTAACTACCAAAGCTATTTGAGAAATAGGTCTGGAGGCTAGAAGTATGTACTGGCCTTACCTACTTGAATGAATGATGGCGGTGTAAGTTTCGGAGTACTGAGGCAGGATTTGTATTGTGGACTGATGGAAATCTAAAAGGCCTATATATGCAGCATGTATTGCATTTTGGTCTAAGCAACTTAATGTGAGTGTGATTGTTATTTTAAGCATTTTTGATGTGAAGGATGACTGAACTGAGGAGAAAGTCAGTTGACCAACCAATTACTTTCTGACTGTAAGTAGTAAGGTCAAGAGTTAACTGGAGCCAGTTAATGATAGCAGAGATGGGATATCACCTTTTGTCGAACTTTTCTTTTTTTCTGGTGGCTGGCAGTCCCATTTAACACACTGTGACAGGCAGTTAGCACCAGTTAAACATGATAGGCGAGGCTGAGTGCGGTGGCTCACGCCTGTAATCCCAGCAATTTGGGAGGCCGAGGCAGTTGTGTCACGAGGTCAGGAGTTCGAGACCAGCCTGGCTAACATGGTGAAACCCATCTCTACTAAAAACACAAAGATTAGCCTGGCCATGGTGGTGTGTGCCAGTAATCCCAGCTACCCGGGAGGCTGAGGCAGAAGAATCTCTTGAACCCAGGAAGCGGAGCTTGCAGTGAGCAAAGATCACGTCACTGCACTCTAGCCTGGGCAACAGAGCAAGACTCCCATCACACACACACGCACACATACACACAATAGGCACTGCACTGTAGTCTGGGTAACAGCAGGACTTCACACACACACATACACACACACACACACATACACACAGACACACAATAGGCACCGCACTGTAGCCTGGGCAACAGAGCAAGACTCCATCACACACACACACACACACAGACAGCAAGACTCCATCTCTCACACACACATAACACATAACAATGAGAGGCAAACTGGTCTATTATGTTAATGTCTGAAATGCGTTTTTTTGTTTTTTTTTTTAAGGTAGTCAAGAACCTCAGTGTCCCTTTGTGTCCTCTCTTTGCAACTGACCTCAGACTGCAAAAGATAAGCACTTTTTTTTAACATCACAGAGAAGCTTTTGGCTATTCTTAAACTTTGTGTAAATGAAATCAGCAGCTTACATTTTTGTGACCGGTTTCCTGCAGTAAATGTATCTGTGAGATGAAATTATATTGTCACTTAGAATTGTAACATTCTGATTGTTGTATGGAATCCTATTGTGTAAATAGCACCTGATTTCTAGTTCGTAACGGTAACATTTTCATATGATTATGGTAAATACGAATGCTCCTGCATGTTTTCAGTGTTAGAAGTATACCATTTTACACTTCCTCTCACAGTTGATGAGATTTCTGGTTCCTCTACTTTTCTCACCATTACTTGGTTTCTTAAACTCTTTATATATTTACGTAGGCATGTTATTATCCTGTTTTAATTTGTATTTATCATCCTGATGACTAACGATAATGCACCTGAGGTGTGATAGGGTTCATTCAGTTAAAAAGAGTTTGTCCTTATCAGTTACAGGCATACTTAGTAAATGAGCTGATTTTGGGGAACTGCTATCTCCCAAAAAATGATAGTGTAGGTAAAATTGGGTTAGCAATTATCAAGTTGTTCGGTTTGGTTGATGGTAATATAGTTCAGTAAACAATTTACTCCTGATGTTTGAAGATTAGTAGATAATACTTGTGGAATAGATACTGTTTGGAAATTCTGCAGTGAACCAGCCAAATAGTGACCAAGTCAACTTTCTACCCCCAGAAATGGTCTCCCATTTTCTTCCATCCTGATCAGGCATTTTTAGGTGTGATTTTTCACTGAATCATTGTATCTGTCTTCTCCAGGACTGACGGTTAATACATTGAATGTGTGCGCATTTGCACGCAAGTATGTGTATTTGCCCTTTGAAGACCACAGACAGTAGTCTAATGCCCATTTCTAGGAGTATGAGTTCTTTGGATTCAGAGAATAGCTGATCAGTTAGGATCTGAATTCCATGCAATGGTCTCATTCCTCTTGGACAAACGAAGTGGATGCATCTCTACAGCAGTCAAGAGAACAGTTAGACAAGCTTGTCCTGACAACACATGTGAACAGGAAATGGTACTGATGTGTGCTACGTAGCAGTTGTGTGTATGAAAAACATGAGCCCTTTTAGAACTTTTCCTTAAGACATTAACTGACTATCTTTACAAAGATGAGCCTATTCACAGGGATGCTCAATTTAATAGCTGCAAGGAGAATGAATAGATTTCTGTAATGAGATACTATATATTTGAAACCGAAGTTTCCATATGCCCCTCACAAGGCGTATGACGGGAGTGGGTCACTTCTTCAGTGTCCCATGCGGTCCAACCCATAGGGGGAGCATGGGCTGTGACCCCATGGCAGTGTCTAGGATTGAGTGTGTACAGCTCTTGGGGCTGTGCTGGAGTGTGTTCTCTAGGTTTTGCTGTCTGCAGGCAACTTGTCTAGCTAATCAGTCCAGTTAGCCCCTCTGCCTTATTGCAAGGATGGAGGACTGTGTGGATCCCAGGTTCTTGCCCTAGCGCACTGAAAAATCAGACCACAGATCACACGTGTGCTTGGAGAATGAATGCAAGGTTTTATTGAGGGGGGGAGGTAGCTCTCAGTAGATAGCTGGGGAGCCAGAAAGGGGATGGAGTAGGAAGTTGGCCTTCCCCTGCAGCTGAGCTTCTCAGTGACTGGACTCTCTCATTTGACCACCCACACTCTACTGAATTTTCCTCGGCATCGAGACCACCCTACTGTCAGTGGTCTGTCACCATCTGTGTGATCTGCCAGTGTGTACCTCTTGATGTCCTGCTGTTTGCGTGTGTGCCCACTATGGTCTTGGGGTTTCTATAGGCACAGGGTGGCGGCTGTGGCAGGCCAGGGTGCTCTAGGAAAATGCAAGATTTGGGTGTGAACACAGGAGTACGTCTTCTCACCTAGGTACACGGGCACGAGGGTGGAGCCCTTGCCAGGGACCCTGCCTTCTTCTTGTATCATGTTTGTCCTCTGAAGAGGTACACCTATCTAACTGCCATCAAAACATGGAGACAACCAGTCTTAGCTGCTTCCTTCTGACAGGGGGCGTTGTTTTTAGGAAAACGGCAGTCAGATTCCTTCTAGAGCTCTGTTTAATTAAGGGTTCTTAGCTTGTCTTGAGGCTCTGGTTGCCTGCCTGTTTGGAGTTTGGTGGCCTCTGCATGAGAGAAAAACAAAACAAGTTTTATAAGGTCACATATGCATGGTTTAAATGCATATCATAGAAGGAAAATTTAGGGCCAAAGATTGAGCTAAGACGTAAAATATACTAACAAAAACATTGTATACCGAGCTGTTTTGCATTGCTGAAAGAAATTAAATCTCGAATGGGATCACTTAAACTTTAGAAGACAGGTACCTGTTGTAGCCATATTTTTAGCAGTTAACAGGTGTACCCTGCCTGGAAATTCTGGTGTTTGTGGGCTTACCTGGTGGTCATTAAAGCTTATGCCTCTTTCTCGGGTCCCCATTTCTCTCTTGTAAAAGACTGAGGTTGCCACTTTCAGGGGGTCCTCTAATGTACTATCCGGCCCCAGGGACCATTTCTTCCACCTCCTCCTAAAATCAAGGGCTGCCTGAGTTGTAAATTTATCCTTTAGGATTAGCTGTCCCTCAGGTGAATCAGGGGATAGAGAGGTGTGCTTGACCAAGACCTCTCAGCTTTTCCAAGAAGGTAGTGAGATTTTCATCAAATCTTTGGTCAGTTGTGGACAACTTAGTATAATTGGGATGCTTGGTCTTAGTCCTACATTAAGCCTTTCATTACGCACACCTGAAAGTGTCTCCTCTTCCAGTCTACTATCCCATCACTGGTATCCCATTTAGGGTAATTCACTGATACTGCTTCTCTTCCACTTGGATGGTATTTGCTCCATTCCCTGATGCTATGTGTGATGCAAAGCTCATCCCCAGATCCAAGCAGCAGTGCCTATCAGGGACTGATTCAGAAGTAACATATCTTTCCAGGAGAGTTCAAATATTTGGGTGAGATTCTGGAAATTTGCTTTAAGTTTTATAGGGAGAAGGGGACTTGGACCTTACTGGGCCCAGATTCACTGGGCATTTTGTGGTACCCCAGCGAGTTAGAGAAAGCACCACACGCTGAGATTGAATCAGGAGTCCTCTGTTTGCTGGGGACCGAGAGACGGCTAATGCTCAAAATTCTCTCAGCCCTGAAGAAGGGGCTTTGTTTGTTTTCATGCCTTGCTTAAAGGAGGGAAGGGGAGCCTAGCTAAAGCAAGTTTTACAGAAGCAGAGCAAGCAAAGATTAAAAGGTAAACTGTTGCAGAAAGATAAACAGTTGCCGATGTAGGGGCTTTTGGTTATCAGCGGGCAGGTTCGGAGGGGTGGCTGATACTATTAGCAGAGACATCCCTAGGAGAGGCTGGTACAGCTTAACTTGGTATCTTATCAGTAAGGACACTCCATTGTCTGCTTGTAGTCAGCTTAGCCCAGCTACCTGCTTAGGGGAAGGGAAGAAGTCAGGGGAGGGGATGGGCAAGTGAAGAAACTAAAGGGGAGTCTGTCCAGCCCATGAAGCTATCCCAGAGTCTGTGCAGCTCTCAGCTAAGAAAGAGAGAACTGGTTAGGCTAACAAAGGGTAGGTTATCACAATATGATGGAGGGGCAAGAGTGAGTCTGGGGCTTGTGAAGGGCAAGGATTTCTAGGAGGGGACAAGTGAGAGGCTGAAGCTGGATATGGAGGTTTGGGTGGACCTGGAGGAGCAGAGCTGGAGGAAGCTGGCTCATCTGCTGGGGTGCCTCTGGCACTCAGATCCTTAATTTCCTAGGCTTGCCCCTTGAAGTCTTCCCTGAGATGCCAAACAGGAGGACTGGATCAATCGTACACTGTTGGCAAAGTTCTGGATTGCCTTGCAAGTCACAGAAGCCCTGCATATATGAGAGCCAGACCATCTGTTCTCACGTCTATGAAAACGCTCCAGCTGCCAGGTGGTATAGAATTGAATTGAATTGATGGTATAGAATTGAATTATAAAGGGCCAACCCGGTCTTTAATTTCTCCAAACCTTTGAGGGCCATCGGCATTTTTCTCCAGATTCTGAGGGTCAAAGCAGTCTCAATGGTTCAGGACACACTGCCGAGGAATATAAGCTGGGAGTGGTGAAGAGAGCTGGTTGCCCATTCTGAAAGACAGGAAATAGAGGCATGTCTCATTTCTTTAACTTCAGTTTTGCTGAAGCAAAAACTGAGTGTGTGATGGAGAAGGAAAGCTAGTATCCTCCCTTCCCTTCCGCCACTTATCCCTCAGTCTCAGTGACCTTGGCAGGTGTTGGCCATAGGTACCAATGCAGTGTGGACCCATGGAGCAGGGAAAACCTGCAGAATAGGAATTAACCACCCTCATGTGTGCCACCTTTCTCCCTGCTGTTGACAAAGTTTGAGTTCTCTGGGCCTGTTTATGCCATGGGAGTATGGCCTCCTTCCATGGTGTTGGGGGTTGAGTCAATAGGAATTAGTGCTGCCTATTTACATTGTGCCCGTTGCCTGACTTTGGATCCCTCTGACCTGGGCTTATTTTCTAAGTTCTCAGCTGGAGGCTTGGAATGAAGTTTGGGACCAAAAAAGATATTTCAGAGACTGCTTCTGTTTGGGTAGTGTCTCAAACGGGCCTGCTGAATTTGCAGTTGTCAGCCAGCAAGGGATGGTTCTTTGTTAACTTCCCTATCAGAAATAGAGTGTTGGGAAGTGGGAGTCCTCTCACTCAGAAAAGGAAAAAAATAGAAAAACCAGGTTAAGGATCAAAACGGGGAGGTTCTAGGGAAAGACCTCCTTGCCCTGTGCAAGTGGGTCCCTTTAATCCTTGTATGCTTCCTCTGGTTCATACTTGGTTGAATTCCTTGGCCAGGGGAGGAAAGGTTCCATTGGTGTGACAGGCAAGAAGCACTTGCCTGCCAGCCCTGTGAGGTCCTGGCTACCACCCTGGTTTTCTCTCACCTACGCCAGCTCATGGCTGTTAGACACAACCTTTGCATGCTGTGGACATGTCTGGGTTCCCGTGCGGGGAGGAAACAAGGTAAGGGGAGGCTCCCTGAACTGTGTGTGTTTGCGTCTGTCAGGCTGGTGGCAGAGATGGCACCTCTAAGGACAGTTCATCAGATTTGCACTTTTGGCAGCTGAGCCATCTTACTTAACAGCATTGCTGCAGCCGGTAGCAAAACCCTTAACGTTATAAAGGACGTGTTAACAGCCATTTCAAACCACGAGAAAGAGAAAAGAGACAAAGGTGGGGTTTGACCAGCCCACTTAGGGCAGTTAAATCTCCTTGAAGGGAAACAGATCCTTTCATCTGTAAGAAAGAGAGGTGGCAGGGTTTTGGAAAAGAAGCAGATCTTCACATTTTCGCTCACCTTCTGGGATCTCAGATGAGTCCCCAGTTGAAACAGGAAAAGTTTCCCTATCTCCCTGGCAGGGCGTTACACAGGAGAAGTGGCACTTCTTTGAGTGCCCTGAAGCTCAAACCTGTCAGGGGAGCAAGCAGACAGGCAGATTGTGGAGTGTGTGGGCTCCAACCCCCTGGCCTTGGGTAAGGTTGAATGTTTATGGCTCCTGAAGCTCACTGGGCGTGTGTTACAGACTGCTCTTTCAGCTTTGCCATATGCAGGTGGCTTGTGTTAATCAGCTCACTCAGACCCTTTGCCTTATCAGAAGAGCAGAGGACTTTCTGTATCATGGGTTTCCTTCCCTAGTGCACAGGAGAAATCAGATCACACATGGGCTTGGAGAATGAGTGCAGGGTTTTATTGAGCAGGGAAAGTAGCTCTCACTACATGGATGGCGAGCCAGAAAAGAGATGGAGTGGGAAGGTGGTCTTCCCCTGGAGTTGGGCCACTCAGAGTTCAGACTCTACTTTCACCATCCTTGGTTGAATTTCCGTTGGTGTCTGCATTGTTCTATTGTCCATGGCCTGTTGTGTGTTCTTCTGCCAGTGTGTTCTTCTTGACATCCAGCCACTTGTGAGTGTCCCTGCTACGGTCTAGGGATTTTTATAGGCACAGGATGGGAGGCGTAGTGCGCCAGGGTGGTCTTGGCAAATGCAACATTTGAGTGTGAACACAGGAGTGCCAGTCCTCACCTAGGTTTGTGGCCACAGGCCTGAGGGTGGAGCCCTCTCCAGGGACCCCACCTTTCTCTATGTAGCACGTCCCTGTCCCCATCCCATATCATATTCAAGAGAATTGGTATGTTGTGAAGTCTCAGCCTGATGAGCCAAGGAAGTCAGAGACAAAATGGTACATAATGTATGATTCCACATAGAAAGTTTAAATGTTAAAACCAGGGTTAGAGATGCCTTGAGGGGATATTAACAAAGAGGGCTTTTATGATGTCAATAACCGATGTTCTTTTTGAAGGTGTAGTTCACAGATACACATTCATCTCATAATTCCTTGAGCTGTGCATTTACTATGCATGCATTTTCTCTTTACCAGAGGTATTTTGTAGATCACTTTTTCCCCAAAAGTACTGTATTATAAAACGTTACAATAAATAGCTCCATGGACTTTGGCAAATACGCTGTTGTTACAAACTCACTCTTAGATCAAGATACAGAATGTTTCTGGCATTCTTAAGATGTTGTATTTCATCTTAAACTTAGGAGATTAGTGCTATTAGTGCTCCTTGTCACCAGTGAGGAACATTGGCACAGGAGGGTAAGAACCTGTCCCTTGGTACTACCAGCACTTCTCTAAATAATTTTTCACCTTCCCGTTGTGTTGGAGGGATGGCAAAGATGACAGTGATATTCTCTGCCTTTGTTCCTGAGGTCAAATCGTCAACCATTGTGTTCTCCTGGAAAATAATGTTCTCTTTCCATGTGACCAAGCCAGGAGCAATCTGGGTAAGGGGAGCATCAGTCATTCTTCTGAATCATTTCCCAATCATCATCATCTTCGATCATGCCATAGAGTGTCAAGAATTGTCAATGCCAGGTGCAGGGGTGCTAACAGACTAGAAACTGCTCTCAGAGAGGATGTGATCATCATCTATCAAACTGGATGGTCAGTTTTTGTTTTTTACTCGCTAACCAAAGGAAGGAGGCTGAAGGTCTAGGAAGCTCATTGTAGGTACATTTAAACTGTGAGGTTTTATTGGACCTAGATAAAGTTTAGGTGTTGACTGGGGTAAAAAACATGGGGCTTCATATGGATTCTCTGGTTCAAATTATTTCTTAGTGCCCTCATGTACTGCCACCTTTGTCCTAGAATGAACCAATGCTCTCGTCTCAGAACTTTTTGCTTACCATTGCAAGATATTTCTGGCTTCTCTTAGGAATTAAGAGCCCTCACCTAGACTGAGCTCTCTCATCATACTTTGGCTAGCTGAAAGTGACATGGGAGGTCAGGGAAATTATGTGCCTATTTCTGAAAAGCATAAGATTAGAAATTAAAATGGGTTTATTAATGATATCTGGCAAACACAGTGATGAGAGACACTTACCAAAATGGAGCCAAGCTTTGAGGCAGCTTATGAGAATGGTTTTTTTTTTTTCCTTCCACATCTCAGGACAAAGAAATTTCCAGGATATAAGAAAGAAAAAAGAAAGAATCCATTCTCTGGTTTGAATACCTCTGACAGCAGGAGGATAGTTAAAATCATGAAACAATTTCTAAATTTATATGAGATGATTGTTCTCCTATGTCAAGGATAAAGCAGGAGGGAGCAGAAGCCACTCTGGAAGTGAGCCGGACTATGCTATTTTAGATTATTGTGTTGTCCTGCCAACTGTTGTTCATTCCCTGGTCTTCTGTTAGTTAAAGAATCAGCAACAAATTCCAAAATCTAAGATTATTGGAGATTCCACAGAAATTCAAACCATCATCAGAGAATATTACAAACAACTCTATGCACATAAACTAGTAAACCTGGAAGAAATGGATAAATTCCTGGACTCCTGTGTCCTCCCAAGCCTAAACAGGGAGAAAGCTGAAACTATGAATAGACCAATAACAAGGTCTGAAGTCAAGGCAGCAATTAAGAGCCTGCCACACAAAAAGAGCCCAGGTCCAGATGGATTCAAAAGGAATGGTACCAGACACACAAAGAGGAGCTGGTACCATTCCTTCTGAAACTATTCCAAATAATCCAAAAAGAGGGAATCCTTCCCAAATCATTTTAAGAGACCAACATCATCCTGATACCAAAACCCAACAGAGACCCAACAAGAAAAGAAAACCTCAGGCCAATATCCCTGATGAACATAGATGCAAAAATCTTCAATAAAATATTGACAAGCTGATTGCAACAGCAAATCAAAAAACTTATCCATCATGATCAAGTAGGTTTCATCCCGGGAATGCAAGGATGGTTCAACATACGCAAGTCTATCTATAAACGTAATTCACCACATAAACAGAACCAAAAACAAAAACCACATGATTATCTCAATTGATGCAGAGAAGGCATTCGACAAAATTCAACAGCCCTTTATGCTAAAAACCCTCAATAAACTCGGTATCCATGGAACATATCTCAAAGTAATAAAAGCTATTTACGACAAACCAACAGCTAATATACTGAATGGGCAAAAACTGGAAGCATTCCCTTTGAAATCCGGCACTAGACAAGGATGCCCTCTCTTACCACTCCTATTCAGTATAGTACTGGAAGTTCTAGCCAGAGCAATCAGGCAAGAAAAAGAAATAAAGGGTATTCAAATAGGAAAGGTGGAAGCCAAATTGTCTCTATTTGCAGACGACATGATAGTATACCTAGAAGACCCCATCATCTCAGCCCAAAAACTCCTGAAACTGATAAGCAACTTCAGCAAAGTCTCAGGATATAAAATCAATGTGCAAAAATCACAAGCATTCCTCTACACCAATAACAGACTTAAAGAAGGCCAAATCAAGAACGAACTGCCATTCACAATTGCTACAAAGAGAATAAAATACCTAGGAATACAACTCACAAGGAACGTAAGGAATCTCTTCAAGGAAAACTACAAAACACTGCTCAACGAATAAGAGAGGACATAAACAGATGGAGAAACATTCCATGTTCATGGTTAGGAAGAATTAATATCGTGAAAATGGCTATACTGCCCAAAGTAATTTACAGAATCAACGCTATCCCCATCAAGATACCATTGACTTTCTTCACAGAACTGGAAAAAACCACCATGAACTTCATATGGAACCAAAAGAGAGCCCGTATAGCCAAGTCAATTCTAAGCAAAAAGAACACAGCGGGAGGCATCACCCAACCGGATTTCAAACTATACTACAAGGCTACAGTAATAAAAACAGCATGGTACTGGTACCAAAACAGAGATATAGACCAATGGGACAAAACAGAGGCATCAGAGGCAACAAAACATATCTACAACCATACAATCTTTGATAAACCTGACAAAAACAAGCAATGGGGAAAGGATTCCCTGTTTAATAAATGGTGTTGCGAAAACTGGCTAGCCATGTGCAGAAAGCAGAAACTGGACCCCTTCCTGACACCTTACACTAAAATTAACTCCAGATGGATTAAAGACTTAAACATAAGACCTTGCACCATCAAAACCCTAGAAGAAAATCTAGGCAAAACCATTCAGGACATAGGAGTAGGCAAGGACTTCATGAACAAAACACCAAAAGCATTGGCAACAAAAGCCAAAATAGACAAATGGGACCTAATCAAACTCCACAGCTTCTGCCCGGCAAAAGAAACAGTCACTAGAGTGAATCGGCAACCAACAGAATGGGAAAAAATTTTGCAGTTTACCCATCTGACAAAGGGCTGATATCCAGAATTTACAAAGAACTCAAACAGATTTACAGGAAAAAAACAAACAAGCCTATTCAAAATGGGCAAAGGATATGAACAGACACTTTACAAAAGAAGACATATATGAGGCCAACAAAATATGAAAAAATGCTCATCATCACTGGTCATCAGAGAGATGCAAATCTAAACCACATTGAGATACCATCTCACGCCAGTTAGAATGGCAATCATTAAAAAATCTGGAGACAAGAGATGCTGGAGAGGATGTGGAGAAAAAGGAACACTTTTACACTGTTGGAGTGTAAATTAGTTCAACCATTGTGGAAGACAGTGTGGCGATTCCTCAAGGCCTTAGAAATAGAAATTCCATTTGACCCAGCAATCCCATTACTGGGTATATATCCAAAGGACTATAAATCATTCTACTATAAGGACACATGCACACGAATGTTCATTGCAGCACTGTTTACAATAGCAAAGACCTGGAACCAACCCAAATGCCCATCGATGATAGACTGGATTGGGAAAATGTGGCACATATACACCATGGAATATTATGCAGCAATCAGAAATGATGAGTTCATGTCGTTTGTATGGACATGGATGAATCTGGAGAACATCATTCTCAGCAAACTGACACAAGAACAGAAAATGAAATACCGCATATTCTCACTCATAGGTGGGTGACGAACAATGAGAACACATGGACACAGGGAAGGGAGTACTGAACACTGGGGTCTATTGGGGGGAAATGGGGAGGGCCAGTGGGTTGGGGAGCTGGGGAGGGATAGCCTGGGGAAAAATGACAACTGTGGGTGAAGGGGAAAAAGGAAGCAAAACACACTGCCATGTGTGTACCTATGCAACTGTCTTGCACGTTCTGCACATGTACCCCAAAACCTAAAATGCAATAAAAAAAAATACCAAAAAAAAAAAAAGAGTATTGGCTGGGAAAACTACATGTATCTATAATAAAATGAAGGATTTAACAAGATTTAATTATTGAACACATGAGTAACTATATTTTTAAAACTGCTGAAACTCTCCTGCTATCTTAATTTTAAATTTGTATTGTTTAATAAATGCATCATTTGGAATAGTGCATTTGACAGCTAATGCCTAAACTGATTGGTGTTAGAAGGTCAAAAATCTGACCTGGGTTCAGTAGCTATTGCCTGCTGTCCAAGTTACTTGGGAGGCTGAAGAGGGAGGATTACTTAAAGCCCAAGAATTTGAAGCTGCAGTGAAAAAATTAATTAAAAATCTGCATTTCTTTGCCTGATTGAAACTTTCCTTTCAGATAATAAGTTCCAAAATGATAAAATCTGGACAGGCACAGTAGCTCATGCCTGTAATCCCAGCATTTTGGGAGGCTGAGGCAGGTGGATCACTTGCAGTTAGAAGTTCCCATCCAGCCTGGCCAACATGATGAAACCTCATTTCTACTAAAAATATAGAAGTTAGCTGGGCATGGTGGTATGAGCCTGAAATCCCAGCTCCTTGGGAGGCTGAGGCAGGATAATCTCTTGAACCCAGGAGGCGGAGGTTGCAGTGGGCTGAGATTGTGCCACTGCACTCTAGTATAGGCAACAGAGGGAGAGTGTGTCTTAAAACAAACCAACAAACAGGAGAACCTTCTAAAACTGAAACTGAGAAAAAGTTACAAATAGATTTCACTATATAATTATTAATAGTAAAACTCAGTTATTTAAAATGTTTCCCCAGTTTAACAGGTGTGTATGGGTTTACAGCTTAGTTATAGAACATTTTACTTCTACTGAGTGTGCCATATAATGTATTTTGATTAAAAAACTACATATTTTATTTATAGAATAAGGTTATGAAGTGTATATACATATATATGTATACACACACATCACATATATGGAGAGAGAGAGAGAAAGAGACAGAGAGAGAGAGAGAGAGAGACATGGAGCCTTGCTCTGTCACCAGGCTGGAGTCCAGTGGCGCAATCTCAGCTCGGTGCAACCTCCGCCTCCTGGGTTCAAGTGATTCTTCTGCCTCAGCCTCCCGAGTAGCTGGGACCACAGAGGCGTGCCACCACACCCGGCTAATTTTTGTATTTTTAGCAGAGATGGGGTTTCACCACAGCCAGGATGGTCTCGATCGCTTGACCTCGTGATCCGCCTGCCTCGGCCTCCCAAAGTGCTGGGATTACAGGTGTGAGCCACACCGTGCCAGGCCAGGAAGTATATTTTTTAAAAGACGACAGATTTTTTTTTCTTTGGTACAGGCACATAGTACTCTGATATGCATTAGTCAAGACTCAACTTTATATACCTAGAAGACTTTCAGAATATTGAAAAGAGATGATATTATCTTATCTGGAAGTTACATGAAAGGATGTAAAATACTAGTCTTACAAAAAAGTTTCTAAGAAGTTATAACTTTTATCACTTCTTCATATCAGTTACGAAAAACCTTTTAATCTGTAAAATCATACTGTAAAAAGAATGTAGTGTTCTCAGCTCAAGACAACTTTTTATTATTAATAAAACTGATTGTGGAAAGCAGCAGCCATTTTTGTGCAGTTATTGGAGACTTGACAATAGAAAGCTATGATTTCTAACTATGTCTAATCATTCCAATTAATTATATAATTTTATACATTTAAGTATACATTTAATTAAAGTGTAGGAGAACTAGTTTTAAAATACATGGTCTCCCTACATTACTTTTCTTTCCTCTATTTTTGAGCATATCAACAATTGTTAATGTAGGCAACACTGTAACAACTAGTCTCTAGTTAGATCTGCTGAAGGAAGACTGATGATGACAAGGTAAGGGGTGATTTCTGGTTAAACTAAAATTCTTCAGCTGTGCAGCATCTAAGGGATTGGGACCCATGTAGGGTCTGCGCATAAGAACTCACCAGCTTCTTCCAGATGTCTAATCATTTTCCTCAATTTTATTGTTTAAAATTATTAGATCAAAGTAGTATGCATGCTCCCTCTGAGATCTCAGACTCCTTCTGCAGGTGCTGAAGAGGTTCATTCCACATGATGAGGGGTTGAAGGTAAAGTGAGCGTAGGGGAAAGAAAAAGCAAGCAAAAGTCAGTTGGATTCGTTATCTTTTCACATTTGTTTTTGCACCATTGCCAGAATTAGCCAAAGTCAAACTTCAGTGTTTTACATATAAGTATGAGAAAAAAATCTGTTTCAGGACAAAGGAGACAATGTTCCCTATGATGGCAAATTTGTACAACAAACATTGGCAATAGAAACTGCTCAATATGTATTACTGCTCATCTCCAGGATATAGGAAGTATAGTATGAAGGATAAGGACAAGGCAGAAAAAGAATGTACATTCTTCAACAAACACATTTCCAACCCCCAGGCCTATCTGTGTCTGTCCCAGAACTAGTCAGGATAAGTCCAGGAGAGCTGCTGGTTACCAGTAGCTCCTATAATCTGGCCATTTGTTAATATTTCCATAGTCAGGCTAACAAGAAAGACCCAGAAGCCAGTTTCATCTCATTCTCTTGATAGAGGTCTTCATGACTCTTTCCTTGATACCTTGTATTCAAAGAATTCACTGGAACCACATTCTGGAGCCTAGTTTTCATTGTACCAATGCCTATTTGACTTTTACATTACAAATTACTTTTTTCCCTCTTTATTTGACCATGTCAATAATTGCAAATTTAGGCAACACTATAACTAACTAGTCCCTAATTAGACCTGCCAAAACAAGACTGACAATGGCAAGGTCACAGATGATTTCCAATTAAACTAAAATTCTTCAGCGATGTAGCGTCTAAGGGATTGGGACCCACATAGGGTCTTTGCATAAGAACTCACCACTTCTTCCAATAAAACTCATCATTTTCATCAGTATTATTGTGGAACATTATTAGATCAAAGATTCAACATGTTCTATAAATTCAGTCATATACACTGAACCTCAGGCAAGGATGCATTTTGGAAGTTTAAAAAACTATTTTGCTAGTTCTCAAGTACAGAAATAGAGACAGAGAGAGATATATAGGTGGACTATAAAAATAAGGTAAATTTATATTAAAGAATTTAATTAAATACATACTTATTTGGTCAGTATTTGCTCTTCCACTAGAGTGTAAACTTGCCTTATTATTATAGACCATAAATTGGTATAGTGCCTTGCATACAGAAAACGGTTGAAAAACCTGAATTGTAGTTCAGCTTCTGATACTGGTCATTATAAGATTTGATGAATATTAAATCTACAGTGAAGAAGCAGAACAATGGGGAAACAAAAAGTGGTAACCCTGGTTGACAGAGATATATTTTTGGGGAAAAAGTAAAAGGTTTGATGCCTTCAGGGACTTAGGAGCAGTACTTCTTAGCACTGTCTTAGGGCTCTTACCCTTCTTTGAGGCCTCTCTGTTACTTGTAAGAGATTTTAGTAAGCCTGATATAAGGACACTGATGCCACAAAACCTGGAATCTAGACACAGCCATAGAGAAAGGAGAGCAGAAGTGTAATAACAAGAACTAAGAGTCTGAGTTAATTCTGCTCAGCATCCCTCCAGTGGAGATAGACAGACATCAGAGCAGTTTAGAATTTAATGTGTTTATCTTGACAAGCTAGAGAGAGAAATTTCTTACTGGTTTTAATATCTTTTAAAAGCACAGTATTTTCACTGTGGTTGACAATAAACACAATATAAAAAACCTCTAGTTTAGGAAAACATTTTTGCCCAAAGATAGGAGTGCATTCTTCTAGTGAAAGAATAATCTATAAAACTTGTTTTCCTGGCATGCCAATCTATGGAAATTTGTCAGACAGTCAACCTCTGGTTACGTATGTGTGCTTAACTTTCATGTAAGCACAGTTGACTAATGAAAGTTAGTAAAAACAAATACATTTATTCTATTTTTTCAATTTTATTGTAGATTCAAAGGTACAAGTTTGGTTTTCTTACATAGGTAAATGTGTTATCATGGGGGTTTGTTGTACAGATTACTTTCGTCACCCAGGTATTGAGCCTAACACCCGTTAGTTATTTTTTCTGATCAATCTCTTCCCACTCTGCACACTTTGACAGGTCCCAGTGTGTTTTGCTCCACTCTATGCATCCACTCATTCCCATCCTTTAGCTCCCACTTACGAATGAGAACACGTGGTATTTGGTTTTCTATTCCTGCATTACTTTGCTAAGGATAATGGCCTCCACCTCCATCCATGTCCCTGCAAAAGACATGATCTTGTGCTTATTAATGGTTTCTTAGTGTTCCACAGTGTATAGGTACCACATTTCCTTTACCCAGTCATCATCGATGGGCATTTAGGTCGATTCCATGTCTTTGCTATTGTGAAAAGTGCTGCATTGAACATAACACATGCATGTGTTTTTATGATAGAACGTCTTTTATTCCTTTGGGTAAACAGCTAGTAATGAGATTGCTGAGTTGAGTGGTACTTCTGTCTTCAGGTTTTTGAGGAATTGCCAAACTGTTTTCCACAATGTGTTGAACTAATTTGTACTCTCACCAACAGTGTATCAGCATTCCTTTTTCTCCACAACTTCACCAGTGTCTGTTGTTTTTTTACCCTATTAAGTAGCCATTCTGACTGGTGTGAGATGGTATCCCACTGTGGCTTTGATTTGCATTTCTCTAATGAGCTGTGATGTTGAGCTTATTTTCATATGCTTGTTGGCTACATGCATGTACTCTTTTTTTGAAAAGTGTTCGTTCATAACTTTTGCCCACTTTTAAATGGAGTTGTTTGGTTTTGTTCCTGGTAAATGTGTTTAAGTTCCTTGTTGATACTAGATGGTAGATTTTGCCAGATGCAGAGTTTGCAAAACTTTTTTTTCCCATTCTCTAGGTTATCTGTTTACTCTGTTGATAGTCTCTTTTTTGCTGTGCAGAAGCTCTTTTGTTTAATTGCATTCCATTTGTCAATTTCGGCTTTCGTTGCAACTGCTTTTGGCATGTTTGTCCTGAAATCTTTGCCTGTGCCTATGTCTTCAGTGGTAGTTCCTCGGTTGCCTTTCACACTTGTTACTGTTTTGAGTTTTACACTTAAGTCTCTATTCTACCTTTTGTTGATTTCTGTATATGGTGAAAGGAAGGGATCTAGTTTTAATCTTGGACATACGGCTAGCCAGTTATCCCAGTACATTTATTACATAAGGAGTTCTTTTCTCACTGCTTGTTTTTTCTCAGGTGTGTTAAAGATCAGAAAGTTGTAGGTGTGCAGCCTTACCTCTAGGTTCTCCATGTTGTTTCATTGGTCTAAAATACCTTTATCGTAATAGCAAAAGCAGATAGAAATGAAACAAATCTACTAAATATAAATATATTAAATTTACTAAAATATTTAAGAATATATTTAATCTAATTAGTTCTTTTCTCATTTCTATAACTGATATTCAGTGGCCATTTCAGCAGCATTTTGGCAGCTTTGGACAATCAACAAAAAGAAAAGTAAGTGCTACAGAAGAAAGTAAGATAATTAAAGACAAATACTTGGTTTAAAAAAAAGGACAAAATAGAACCACTGTATGGACTGTTAAACATGTTTGTTATTGAATAAAGTGGTTTGTTATTGAATAAAGTGGTATAATTTATTTGTTCATTCCAAATAAACTGACGAAATAGGTACCAAAAATATTAATGATAGTAGTGAACTTAATCTTCCATAAAAGTGTAAAAAATGAATATTTGCAAACCTTGATTTTACTGATTTGTTAAAGGATTGTAAAAGGGCAAGACTATGTATTCCTTGGCTAAGTTTATGCCAATTTTATATGTTTAGCAAACCGAGCCAAGAGTACTCTGATAGTCTATTGCATCTCCAAGGTAGTACTTCTCATACGATGTTGTCTAGGAGTCCTTCTCCTTCTATTAATCTATATGTATCAGACACAGGAAAAGCCTTCTTTTATGTACTAGCAATAGAAGGCCTTATAAGCAGACCTGTTACAAGACAGCATAGAGAAACGTTGCAGGTGCCATATCTGTGGCAGCTGCTATTCACGTTCTTTCCCCTCTTATAGCCCAATTCACTTTTATGTTTGGTAATCAACAGGGATCTTAATATGAATATCACAAGTGTTCACTTTAGAGCTGCCTAGGGGAACCGAGTTAGCTGTGTCAAGGCGATAAATCTGTTTTAGCTTTCTTCATGTAAAGCAGCTCTTGACACAGAGTTGTTTCCTATCCTACCTCGTCCCATATTCCGGACCCACTTCTATCTCCACTTCAAAGTTGGGGTTCCTGCTTTCTCGGTATGTGTCTATCAGGACCAGAAATGAGCTGAAGACATTGTGGGGCTCATAATTCTAAGGAGACTTTGTGGCCTGGAAGAATGTTTACTGTTCTCCAGATTTTTGAGATATGAATAAAATCATGAGTGACCAAACTGTAACTCTTCCTTTATGCCACATAAATGTAAATGAACACTAACATATATGGTTTAGATTCTGTGTAAGACTAAAGCCTGAATTTGTCAAAGGATTCTGAAACATATTACCTATGTTGCTTAGTTTCTTGTGGGAAAAAGAGCGTCTCAGATTCTGGAAATCTTAATTCTCAGGATCAATAACAAAGCACAGAGTATTTGTCTTAATGAAACAAACTTGTTTAAAGTTAAACTGGATTTGTGGCAAGACGGTCGAATAGGAACAGCTCCGCTGCGCAGTTCCCAGCTACAACGAGGCAGAAGGCAGGTACTGTCTGCATTTCCAAGTTAAGGTTTCTGGTTCATCTCATTGGGACTGGTTAGGCAGTGAAGGCAGCCCAAGGAGGGTGAGCCAAAGCATGGCTGGGCGTCGTCTCACCTGGGGAGTGGAAGGGGCCAGGGAACTTCCTCTACTAGATGAGGGAAGCCATTAGGGACTTTTCCTGGTACTCGGGCACTCTGGCTCAGATACTGCATTTTTCCCATGGTCTTCACAACCCGCAGAACAGAGATTACCTCCAGTGCCTACAACACTAGTGTCTGGATTTCCAGCACAAAACTGGGTGGCCTTTCAGGAAGACACTAAGCTTTAACCTCACCTGTGTAACCAAGTGGCCAGGAAGTCTACACAGTGTCTGGGTAGAGCCCACAGAAGATCAGTAAGGCCACTGCAGGCAGACTGTGTCACTCGACTCCCTTCTTGCTGGACAGGGGCTCCCTGAAAAAAGGCAGAAGCCCACCAGGGACCTATGAATGAAGCCCCACCTTCCTGGGACACAGCACCTGGGAAAAGGGTTGTTGTAGGTATAGCTTCACCAGACTTAAACATCATTGCATGGTAGCTCTGAAGGGAGCACAGCCTTTGAGCTCTAATAAGGGACAGACTGTCTGCTCTAGTGACTCCTTGGCCCCATATATCCTGAATAGGAGACACTGGTCAGCAGGAGATGACAGACACCTCATACAGGACAGTTCTGGCTGCAGGTACCTTTCTGGTACAAAGCTACCAGATGAAGGATCAGGTAGCAACCTTTGCTGCTCTGCAGCCCCTGCTGGTGATTCGCAGGCAAACACGGTCTCGAGTGGACCTACGGCAAACTCTGGCACACCTGCAGCAGAGGATCCTGACTGTTAGAAGGAAAACTAACAAACAGAAAGAAATAGTTTTGACATCAACAGAGATGACATCCACTCAAAGACCCCATTCAAAGATCATCAACTTCGAAGAAGAAAGGTAGATAAATCCATGAAGATGGGAAGAAACTAGTGCAAAAAGGATTGAAAACTCCAAAATCTAGAACACCTCTTCTCCTCCTGGGGATCTTAACTCCTCACCAGCAAGGGAACAAAACTGGACGGAGAATGAGTTTGATGAACTGACAGAAGCACATTTCAGAAGGTGGGTAATAACAAACTTCTCCAAGCTAAAGGAGCCTGATGTAACCCAATGCAAGGAAGCTAAGAACCTTGAAAAAAGGTTAGACAAAATGCTAACTAAAATAACCAGTGAAGAGAAAAACATACACGACTTGATGGAGTGGAAAAACACAGCAGGAGAACTTCGTGCAGCCTGCACAAGTTCCAATAGCTGAACCGATCAAGTGGAAGAAAGGATATGAGAGATTGAAAATCAACTCAGTGAAATAAAGTGAGAAGGCAAGATGTGAGAAAAAGAGTGGGAATAAATGAACAAAACCCTAAGAATTATGGGATAATGTGAAAAGACTAAATCTATGTTTCACTGGTGTACCTGAGTGTGACAGGGAGAAAGGATCCAAGTTGGAAAACACTCTTCAGCATATTTTTATCTAGGAGAACTTCCAAACCTAGCAAGACATGTCAACATTCAATTCAGAAACACAGAGAACAGCATGAAGATGCTCCTTGAGAAGAGCAACCCCAAAACACATAATCATCAGATTCACGAGGGTTGAAATGAAGGGAAAAATGCTAAAGACAGCCAGAGAGAAAGGGAAGCCCATCAGAATGACAGTGCATCTCTTCGCAGAAACCCTACAAGCCAGAAGAGAGTGGGGGCCAATATTCAACATCCTTAAAGAAAAGAACTTTCAACCCAGAAGTTTATATACAGCCAAATTGACCTTCACAAGCAAAGGAGAAATAAAATTCTTTAAAGACAAGCAACTGCTGAGAGATTTCCAAGTCACCACCAGGCCTGCCTTACAAGAAACTACCAGTACCAGCCACTGCAAAAGTATACCAAATTGTAACGACCATTGGCACTATGAAGAAATCGCATCAACTAACTGGCAAAACAGCCAGCTAGCATCAAAATGGAAAGATCAAATTCACACATAACAATATTAACCTTTAATGTAAATGGGTTAAATGGCCCAATTAAAAGACACAGAGTGGCGAGTTGGATAAAAAGTCAAGACCCATCAGTATGCTGTATTCAAGAGACCCACGTCATGTGCAAAGACACACATAGGCTCAAAATAAAGGATCAAGGAAGATTGCCAAGCAAATGGAAAGAAAAAGAAAAAGAAAAGCAGCGGTCGCATTCCTAGTCTCTGATAAAACAGACTTTAAACCAACAAAGATCAAAGATGGTGAAGGGATCAATGCAATAAAAAGAGCTAACTGTTCTAAATAAACATGCAGCCAATCCAGGAGCAACCCGATACAAACATTAAGGAAGTTCTTAAGGACCTACAAAAAGGTGTAGACCCCCACACAATAACAGTGGGAGACTTTAACACCCACTGTCCATATTACACAGATCAACAAGATTGGAAAATTCACAAGGATACGCAGGATGTGAGCTCAGATCTGGACCAAGCAGACCTAAAAGACATCTACAGAACTCTCCACCCCAAATCCACAGAATATACATTCCTCTCAGCACCACATTGCACTTATTCTACAATTGACCATATAATTGGAAGAAAAACTCTCCTCAGCAAATACAAAGAAAAAAATCAGAGACAAAATAGTCTCCCAGACCACAGTGCAATCCAATTAGAACTTAGGATTACCAAAGTCACTCAAACCCCAAAACTACACAGAAAATTTACAGCCTGTTACTGAGTGACCACTGGATGAATAATGAAATGAAGGCAGAAATAAGATGTTGTTTGAAACCAACGAGAATGAAAACACAGCATAACAGGATCTCTGGGACACGATTAAGCAATGTGTAGAAGGAAATTTATAACATTAAATGCCCACATGAGAAGCAAGGAAAGATCTAAAATCGACACCCTATCGTCATGATTAAAAGAACTAGAAGAGCAAGATCAATCAAGTTCAAAAGATAGCAGACGACAAGAAACAACTAAGATTAGAGAAGATCTCAAAAAGACAGACACACAAAAAAATTAAAAAGAAAAAAAAAAAAGCAGTGAATCCAGGAGCCAGTCTTATGAAAAGATCAACAAAATAGACCGCTAGCTGATAGCAAAGAAGGAATGAGAAAATAATCAAAGGGATGCAATAAGAAATGATAAAGGGTATATCATCACGGATCCCACAGAAGTACAGACGGCCACCAGAGAATACTACAAACACCTCTATGCAAATCAGTAAATCTAGAAGAAATGAATAAATTTCTGGACACTTACACCCTCCCAAGACTAAATCAGGAAGAAGTCGAATCCCCGAATAGACCATAACAAGGTCTGAAATTGAGGCAGCAATCAATAACCTACCAAAAAACGTATCCAAGACCAGATGTGTTCATAGCCAGATTCTACCAGAGGCACAAAGAGGAGCTGCAACCACACCTTCTGAAAGTATTCTAAACAATAGAAAAAGAGGGGATAGTCCTGCACATCATCAGGATACCAAAACCAGGAAGAAACACAACAAAGAAGGAAAATTACAGGGCAATATCCACAATGAACATCGATGCAAAAATCTTCAATAAAGTACTGGGAAACAGAGTCCAACGGCACATCAAAAAGCTTGTCCGTCACAATCAACTTGGCTTCATCCCTGGGATGCAAGTCTGGCTTAGCACATGCAAATCTAGAAACATAATCCATCACATAAACAGAACCAAAGACAAAAACCACAAAATTATCTCAACAGATGCAGAGAGGGCTTTGACAAAATCAACCACGCTTCATGCCAAAAACTCTCAATAAACTAGGTATTGA